TTCAGTAGCTGGGTCTTGTTTACATTTGACATCCCCATTAAATAACTAAAGATTTAAAGAAGGCAGCCATATATGTTAAGCCTTGAGCTCCAGGATCAGGTTTGAGTTACTGGCAGAAACGGTTCTCAAAGCCCAAATGGAAAAGCTGCTTATGTGTAGCTCCAAGTAACCAGTGTTCTTTAAAAGAGTAAACTTTGGAAGACTAACAGACACAATTTGATAATGATATATAAACAAAAGAGTTTCTAAATTATGAGTCTCTTTAAACCGACAACAGATTATTCCTTTAGAGATGAGATTCTTACCACTGATAATTAGAATAAGCACACAGGCTCTGGTTTCAGACTGCCTGCATATGAATCACAGCTCCCCCATTTACCAATTAAATAGATAGTATTGGGTAAAGTAAATTAAATAGTATTAGGTAAATCACTTAATTTCTCAGTGTCTCAACTTCCTCATCAGCAAAGATAACAACAGTAACTACCCCCGGTGTACTTATGAAGATTAAATTAACCAGAACGTGTAAAACAATGAAAACAGTATCTGGCAGGTAGTAAGTGCTCAACAAATGCCAGCTGGTATATTATCATTATTATTATTTTGAGATGCAGTTTTGCTGTCATTGCCTAGGCTGGAGTGCAGTGGCACGATCTCGGCTCACTGCAACCTCCGCCTCCTGGGTTCAAGCAATTCTCCTGCCTCAGCCTCCTGAGTAGCTGGGATTACAGGTCTGCGCCACCCCACCCCCAGCTATTTTTTGCATTTTTAGTAGAGACAGGGTTTCATCACGTTGGCCAGGCTTGTCTTGAACTCCTGACCTCAGGTGATCCACCTGCCTCGGCCTCCCAAAGTGTAGGGATTACAGGTGTGAGCCACTGCGCCCGGCCGCAAGCTGGTATTATCACCTGCAGTCTCCTGGCATTGTACACAGAAGTGTCTTAACACTTCAGTTTTCTAGTTAGATGCTTGGGAAGAGATGGCATCAAAGATTCAGAATGAATTGGGGAAGCATATGAAAGACCCTCCTTAAAAGACATGGAGGCTCAATGTTACAGACTGCTAAGAACATGCTCTTTAAAAATAAGCTATCTGTATGCCAGTTATTCCTAAATCTGCATCTCAGCCTGGATCTGGCCCTGGAGCTCCAGACTCACATACTTGGCTGCCTACTGGGTACTCGACTTGGTAATTTAATAGGTATATCATTGAAATAAAAAGGGAAAGCAATCAGTATTCTCTTCATCTTCTGTAAGTAGATGATCGAGTAACATTTTCTTTTTTCTTTTCTTTTTTTTTTTTTTTGAGACAGAGTGTCACTCTGTAGCACAGGCTGGAGTGCAGTGGTGCGATCTTGGCTTGCTGCAAGCTCTGCCTCCTGGGTTCAAGTGATTCTCCTGCCTCAGCCTCCTGAGTAGCTGGGACTACAAGTGCCTACTACCACACCTGGCTAATTTTTGTCGTTTTAGTAGAGACAGGTTTTCTCCATGTTGGCCAGGTTGGTCTCGAATTCCCGGACTCAGGTGATCTGCCCGCCTCGGCCTCCCAAAGTGCTGGGATGACGGGCCCTCAAGTGACATTTTGAACTGCAGAATCTCTCGACTCCCCTCCATAAGTCACAAAATCCATGCTATAATTGACATTCTCTCAGTTTTCACCTTCACACTGAGAAAGTACCCAGACTGGTCAACTACATTAAAATCTCAGGCATTGTATCTACTCATTTCAGCATTAATATTTTCAAATCATTATTCTACTGAATATATTACTTACTGTAAGTCACTTCAAACAGTTTCTGAAGGTTTACAGGGAATAAGGAAATAAATCAAATATAAGATGTCATTAGATGATTCCTGGGATCTTATGCCTAAGGCATCCTGGGCTGCACACTCAGCACTGCGACTCCCAGCTGCCTTATGTTGGGTCATGACTCAGTTGCCACCAATGGAGTGACTAGACATCCCCTAAGGACCAGGAGAGTCCCTGCAAAATTCTAAATTCATAGCCTTCCACTCACAAAAGTTTCTAGATTGGATGAGAAATTATATGTCTACCTACATACTCTGTAGCAGGTAACATGCATACACACACACATTTATTCTGCTAACATCCACCAAACACCAATTAAGTGCCAGGACCCATGGTGAGCTCCAGTGCAATGCAGGACTCTAGCACAAAAATGACAGGTTTTAAAGAGCCATAAAAACTTTGTGTTACATACCACATCTAAGAAGACGAGAGAACAGCCAAAAAATAGTACAGTTCCTTAGACAGACAACAAACAGACAGCTACATTAGATGTTATAAACCATGTATAACCAACAAGTATTTGTAAGTGACTGAAATGTTCCACTGCCTTGCTACCATGGATGTGAAGTGGGAACATGTGATAGCGAAAGATGTTTTTTTTATAGGCAAGTAGCATAATCCACAATAGGAATAAAAGCACCAATACAACTATCTTTCCTTTCTGTGATTTAACGTATTATTTCTCCTTCGACTTTCGAAACAAAACATAATTCACATATTTTAGGCTGAAATAACAATTGAATACATCTGACATCCCTGTCAAATAACTTAAGACTTCAAGAAGGCAGCCAGGTAAGTAAGCCTTGTGCTCTAGGATCATGGCTAGATCCCATCAACATAAGAAGAATCAGGAAATCTGAAATGGTTCAGCTGTGATTCCTTTTGAATTAGAAACAGTGTACAGATTACAGTTAGGCAAATTGCCAGTGAATACTCAAGGAGATTTCAAACAAATGCATATACTTACTTTGCTTAGGAGCAGCGAACAAAGCAAAGGCCTCTGATAAATTTAATGTCAGCAATTTTCAAAGCTTACTCTTGGCCGGGTGCGGTGGTTCACACCTGTAATCCCAGCACTCTGGGAGGCCAATGCGGGCAGATCACTTCAGGTCAGGAGTTCGAGACCAGCCTGGCCAACGTAGTGAAACCCCGTCTCTACTAAAAACACAAAAATTAGCCAGGCGTGATGGCAGACTCCTGTAATCCCAGCTACTCGGGAGGCTGAGGCAGGAGAATTGCGTGAACCCGGGATGTGGAGGTTGCAGTGAGCTGAGATCGCGCCATTGCACTCCAGCCTGGGGGACAAGAGCGAGACTGTGTTTCAAAAAAAAAAAAAAAGCTTAGTCTTATGGCTAGAAGGAATTTAAGAAGTAGAGTAATCTTAGGCACTCCAACACATTGTCTTCATGGGAATTCTGGCAACTTAGATGAAGGAGGCTGTAGCAATTTGAAGTTTTACTAGATTCAGTGTTTAAAACTGTTGGTTAGTAAAACCCTAAAAAAGATGATCTTTAAGGGCTCTTTACAGATTATGATACAAAAGCCCAGAGAAGTCACATAGTAGTAGTGGGAAAAGTATGACTTTCAAAATCAATCACACTTAACTATTCCCAGACCTCTTCTTCAATGTGTGTTCCTAAGAACACGCCTTAACTTTTTTCTGTTTCTCCACCTATACAAACGAAGAGAATACTTAACTTTTAGGGATGTTATGAAGGCTAAATCAATTCATATTTATGAAGACATCTGTCACATAATAGATACTCAAAACATGTTGATTGCCTTTCTTCCAAGGGATAAATAACTTGCAAGTCACACAGCTAGTGAGGACTAGAACCAAGAATTGAGATCCCCTTTACCACTCAAACAGAATTCAACTATTTCTTAAATGGCCACTATTCATCTTCAGTCATATCATAAAATAGAGCTTTTTAACACCTGAGTTGGGAGGGGTAGTTATTAAAGTAAATGTGGAACACCACAGGGCTGCAAAAGAGTCAGGAAGTTTAATCAAGGAAATATTGTATTGGCTACCTTTCTAAAAATGACATCTGCTTAGTTTGTACCTGAAGGCTTGAACTTCTGGAAACAATGCAACAACTAAAGTTGGTTATTTTTAATGGATATTTCACAACTAGTATTTCAAGACTGTTTGCAGCAAATAGGTATCAAGTGTCTAACGTGCAGGGCCCTGTGGATGACAGAAGTATGAATCCAACTTTGGACCTGTCTTCTCTTGTAGAGAAGAGAGACAGACCTCGAGGAGTGATAAAAACCAACCAACCAACCAATAATTGCATGGTAGGTGTGATGGAACTTAAAAAGTTCAAGGCCAGCCTGACATGGGGGGTTACTTAATGCTACTCTACTTGGGGATAAAATGCCCATCAGGAGTTGGTAAACATAGCAAAGCATAGCAGAAACTATTCAAATTGTGTTAATTGAATTCTAGTATTGTTTCTCAAAGGAGTTAGCTTTGTGAACTTGTCAAGTTACTTGACATCTTTAGGTTACGTTTCTCATCTGTCTGTAAAATAAGTGAGTTCAAAGGATGATCTCTATTTAAGCCTCCTTCCAGTTCTAATATTCCAAATTATATGATAAGGATCATGACCACAAGAAATACAGTAACTTATATTTATCGCACATCTATTATATGTCAAACACCGTGCTAAAGTGCATTACTGTACTATCTTCACTTAATCTTCACAACTTTATGAAGTGGACATTATTGTTGTCATTATTTTACACATGAGAAAAAGGAGGCTAAACAGTATCAGAATACTGCAGTCGTGATTTGAATGGAAGCAGTCTGAAGCAGTAACCCCTGCTTCTGACCTCAGTCTGAAGGGTAACCCTGAATTGAAGCAGTTCATGGGTCACCCTTACCCGTCACACAAAGTTGCTTCTCGTCACAAAAACTGTCTTATCCATTCTCAAGAAATAATGAAAAGAGAAAGCTTGGAAAAGGATCCTTCCTGGCTGGCAGACAAGATCTGAGTTAATATCACGTTGTCTGTTTCACGTGTTAAAAAGTCTCTTGCACCACTTTCCCCGAGATGCTTGCGCGCTCCCACGGCTGTGCGCGCCCCTGTCGGGCTGACACCGCGACCGCCAGAAGCGATCAGGGCTGAGGCGCACGGAAGGGCTCCGGGAGAGGCCCCGTAGGAGCGCGGGCACAGAGTGGGTACCTGGGCTGCTGTCTGCTCCAGTTGGCTGGTTCTCCCACCACTCGTCTCCGAGATCGTCTGCCATCTCAGCTCAGGACTCGACGTGGGCTGAACACCACGGGGAGGCGGCCAGCTGCGGAGAATCACGCTGTCTCAAAGCCAGTTCTGTCGGCGTAGCTACACGCGGAGCCCCGGCTAGACACTGTCGCCTCCGCCCCGCGGCGATGACGTCACACCTCCGCCCCGCCTCTCCGGCAGCTACTTCCAGACTCGTCGCAGTTTCCACACAGGCGCCGACAGGCAGAAGCAGTTTGGAAACGCAAAATAAATCTCTCCAAAGCTTAGAGACAAAAAGGAACATAAGACGAAAGGAATTGTCATCATTTTTGAAAAATGTATTTAAAAAATTTTTGTTTAGGTGTTCTATTTCCCGATAAGATTGTGTCGAAAGTGTGAGACGCGATGCGAAGACGATTTTTCTCCGCTCAGTTTCAAAGAACTTGGGTCGCGGGAGAAGACACAAACACGTGCGTGTGTTTTCGCTTTTGCGTCAGTGTTTCAGAGTTTGTGTGTTTGTACAGTTTGCTCTTAGAATAACATGCACAAGGATCCATGACCATGAATGTCTGGCCTTTGTAGTAAATGTAGTTCTGCTATTTATGCAATATGAGTAAAGAAAATGTAATTGGTCTGGAAAGGCTCGCCCACAGTAAGACGCAAGTGGCCAAAGACCTGAAAGTTGTTTTGCCCGTACTCCCTCGGTTGTGTATCCCACCCCCTATTTGGGAAACGAAGTAATAAGGGAGCCCGTTGCTTCGTAACTATAGGTAAGAGACCCACAGTGCCTCTTGTCCCATTCCCAACGTGAAGTAGCAGGGAGGGACTAGGAAAACGCGCTGGGCACCAAGTGTTGGGGCTACCTGTGAAGTAATTGTGGACGGTATTTTTCAGGACGTCAAACACAGAGGTAAATATTATACAAAATGTATTAAAAGCACGCAACGTGCCTGGTACTATGCATGGAATAGTAAGATGAGTCCATTCAGATGTCACCCTACAGTAGTGGAAGTGTAATGTGTAAGAATAAAGGGCTAGGCTTCTAATAGGATACATCTTCAGAAATGACAAGACAGGGAACCTTAATCTGATGAGGACGGGATTAGCCATATGTGGAAAATTACCCCGTGTGCACCCAACTCATAGGTGTTTTATAAATGCATTGCTGCCTAGACTTTGTCAGCACACTCTAAATGCCCCAAAAGGGAAGATATTATGTATAAATATGGCAAATGTAAAATAATCTATAAAGATCAAAAACAATGTGACTTTTGTGAAGAAATGTAGATGACAGGAGATTTTCGTGATTAATAGATTATTGAAAAAGAAAGGTAAGAAATGCCAGTGTGGAGGAGGAAGTGCTATGGCTAATAAATATGAAAATATGTTCAGTCTGATTATTAATCTGGGAAATACAAAAAACACCACAGCGAGACGGTTTTTCAGGCAATAAATCACAAAATTAAGAAGTATGGGCCGGGGGCGCGGTGGCTCACGCCTATAATTCCAACACTTTGGGAGGCCTAGGTGGGTGGATCACCTGAGGTCAGGAGTTCCAGACCAGCCTGGCCAAAATGGCGAAACCCATCTCTATTGAAAATACAAAAATTAGCCGGGCGTGGTGGCGGGCGCCTGTAATCCTAGCTACTTGAGAGGATGAGGCAGGAGAATCGCTTAAACCCGAGAAGTGGAGGTTGCAGTGAGCCGAGATGGTGCCATTGCACTCCAGCCTGGCTGACAAAAGCGAAACTCCATCTCAAAAAAATAAAAAAATAAAAATAAAAAATAAAAAAAGAAGTCTGGCAATACTAAATTATGGAACGTTTATGCATCAATGGGCACTGATGCCTGTTTAGTACCATGAACTATGAATGGTCTTACATTATATTCCACCTCGCCTCAGCCTCCCGAGTAGCTGGGACTACAGGCATGTGCCACCATGCTTGGTTATTTTGTTGTTCTTTTTGGGTTTTTTTGTAGAGACGGTGTTTCGTTTTGCTGCCCAGGCTGGTCTTAAACACCTGGCTTCAAGCAGTCCTCCCACTCCAGCCTCCCAAAGTGTTGGTACTAGAGGCCTAAGCCACTGTGTTCAGCCATTTTTTACATTTTTAAAGCATTATAAGAAACAGAACAAAACAACCAAAAAAAAAAAAAAAGGGTAAAGAAAGATATGCAGCAGAGACTGTAGCCCTCATATATGTACTATTTATTATTTATTCCCTCATGTATTTGCTCTAACTTTACAGAAATAAGTTTACTGACCCCAGATTATATTGAATAGCCAACCTAAGTTGTAGCATTCATTTCTGTTCTCTTTGTTATTAGTGAATTGGTTATTAGTGAATAGGCACCCTGGTTTATAAACCAGTGTATTGTTAAACCATACTCTCCAGTATCTGATCATATCATCTAACACAGGGAAGCTCAGGCTGAAATAACTATTAGGTCTTTTTCTGCTCCCTCTTACTGTTCAGTATCTGAATGAGTATTATCAGAGTTTAAAGGAGGAAACATTCATTTCCCAGTGGGGTGAACTGGGAGGTAGCACTTGACAATGGATGTCTGTGGGCAAAAATGGATAGGGTAAATAATAGTTCCTTGGCAGAAAGATTGGAATGTTGCTTTGAATAGGTTATTAAACTTTACTGGGCCTTTCTTTGTGAGTCTGTAAAATAAAGGGGAGAAATTTCATGATTCCTGTGGTCTCTTCCAACTCCATGTCTTGATCTTGAGTATCAGACCAAGAATTCTGGATTTTTGTCATTGTTATTAGAGGCAAAGGACATTCTAGAAGTATTGTTTTAGGAAAACTAAATTGGTATTACTGTGCAGGATGGATAATGGATTTGAGCAGAGCTTCCCACCTGGCATGGGTGGGCCGGAGACCGACCCCGCAGCCTTTGGAGGAAGCAGTGACCTTGGGGCAGTTGCCTCAGGTTGAGGGGACCATCATCTTCACTCTAGTGTTGTACAAATATCACCATTTTCTATGGATGCCATGATGTGAAAGGTTGGCAAGAACTGAATTAGTAAGAGAGCGATAAAGTTTGAAGGCTGTTTTGCGAATGTTCACCACACAATGAAAAGGTCTTAATCAGTGCAGAGGTTCTTAGTCAATAAGCCCAGCCTATAAGTGTACTTCATAATGTATTCAAACTTTTGCATCATGTAGACAATAATGGTAGTAACAATATCAACAATAGCATGTTCTAGGTACCTCTCTATGCCTTTTATATCGTAATTCATCTAATCATAACTCCATGAGATGCTGTGCTGGGACTAGGGTGAGGCAAGCAGAGGCCTAGGACACCAGATTTAAGGAGGCAGTCACTCTCAGGCTGACACTGACACCAACCTGAGAATGCTTGTCTCACTTGAGTCCTGATGCTGGTCCCTTTACTGAAGGCCACAGCTCTAGTTCAGCAGCTCTCCTCAATTCTTTCTTCTGAGTCTAGTAACTACTTATTGCCTTTGCCTCTTCAGACTTAGGAGTGGTAAGTGCTCCCCACCATTACTAGTCCTGGGGTTCTACACCATGTTTCATTTCCCTAACCCTACCTCATGTTCAGAAATACTCCCCTTACTAAATTCTTTTTAGCTTTCCAACTTAAATGGGTCATCTTTTGCGTGGTAGGACCCCAACTGATAAAATCACTGCCTACTTAGGATTCCCCTCAAAGCAGAGCCTGTGACAAAGGCTTGGGTGCAAGTAGTTTATTTGGGAGGTGATCCCTGGATGCAGGAATAAAGGCAGAGAGAGTGAGACAAGGAAGGAGGATTGATATTAAACTGGTTTTGATATAGACAATAGCTGGCTCTTTATCCTGTTGGAGACCCTCTGAAAAAAATAGGATATACCCCAGAATTAGCCTCACAAAGTGATACAGGAGTTAAGAAGAAATTACTTAGACAGATTGTAAGGGTATGGGAGTCCTCAGTAAGGCTTTTCTTTTTAATGAAAAGCAGCCCCAAATCATTTTCTAACAAAGAGCAGCCTGCAAGCTGGGAGCCTGCATGAATGAATGCTGGCAGGAACTAAGGACTAGACATGTTCAAATGGCACCTCCATCTTCCCGTCTCTGCCAGCCACGTGTACTGCAAGGAGCAGACAAGATGGCACTGATCAACTGGAAAGTCCATTTGCATAATAAGATTAGGGTGGAGTGACCAGCCTTCCCCGTGTGCTATGTAAACATCATAGCTGGTCGAACCAATCTATGAGCCCTATGTAAATCAGACACCGCCTCCTCAAACTGGACTAGAAAATTCGGCACATTTACCACCAGCCAGTCTTTTCCGCAGGGAGACCCCTTTCTCTATATAAGGAAGAGACCTCTTTCTCTTCTCTTCTGCCTGTTAAACGTATGCTCCTAAACTCCTCGTGTGTGCCCAGGTCCTAAATTTTTCTGGTGCACATCAATGAACCCCAGGGTATACACCCCAGACAACATAGCATCTTCAAAAGGACAGAAGGCTAGGACACTTACCACTGACTATCATCCACCATTGAGTGAGGGTTGTTGCCAGGGATATGAATTGGCAGATATTCCCAGGCTGTTGGAGAATGCCCTGAGGCAGAAGAGTAGAGCGGTCACACTTCAGCTCACTTGAGGTGGGATGATGACAGTGTGCCCAGAGCTTTCCTCCGTGGCTGAGCCAATTTGAAAGTGAGCAAAGGGGCATAAAAAGCATCTGCTCCAGGTTTATACCATTTTTCTTTCCATTTTGTAGATGATGAAACTAAGGCACAGAGAATTAAGTAACTTGCTGAGTTACTAGTAAGTGATTTCCCGTCTGCCCCACGACCTTCACAGCACTCTCAATGTGGTCTGTGTCCCCAAAATGACCCACACTCACTGGACTAGGGTAACAATAGTATAGAAAAAAAGGAAGAGCCAAAGTGAGGAGCATTACCACCAATTTGTGCTAATGTTTTGGAAATAGGATGGTGAGGAAAACAGAAGTCAAAAAAATCTATAGGTTCATATCTTAAAAACTAAAAAAAATAAAATACAATAAAATAACATCATAGATGGGAGTAGTAAAAGGAGGAGGGAACAGTTTAGGGGATAAAATGATGAGGTAGGCGTTAGACAAGGACAAAACAGACCATAAACAATAAGGACAAAATAGACAAGAAACAAGTAAATGAATAAATAAATTCAGATAAAAATGATAAGTTCAGCTAAAAGATAAAAGTGCTATAAAGGAACTACATAGCAATTGGGACCTAGGTGGGAGGGTTAGTGGAGGACTGTGGCAAGAGATGAGGATGGAGAAGT